AGGGTTTTATAAATAAACTGGATTAGATTGTAAAAATATTACCCTTGATTAGATAATTGGGACCGGAGTGAATTTTTTTTTCCAGAATTCTACTTTTATTCCTCAGAACTTGGACTTTATTCTCAGACATTATTATTAAAGTCAGAAAAAACAAAATAATTTTGACAGCCCAAATTTCCACTTTCGCCTCCAAATTCTGACTTTAAACTCAGAACTACAACATTCAAATTTTAGAGGGAAAAAATTCCTGAATGTCAGAATTCTGAGATTAGAATAAGAATTGTGAGATAAAAGTCACATTTATGGAAAAAGAAAAACATTTTCATTGTGGTCCTAATCCTCTTTTGTGCTTAAATATTTATTAAGTCTTAAAGCTTATTTTTTATAAACAAAATCCTTCGTAATTAATCAATTGTCAAAAATCTTGTCCATATCTATTTGCTCACATAGATTTAAATGACTAATTTATACATTTTAATCACTTTTTATTTGGTTCTTAACTAATACTACTATAAATTTCTTATTTTAGTTCACATGGTTTGGTCATGTGAAAAGGGGGAGATCAGAAGGTTACGTTTTCAAATCACGTCGGGGTCACCAAAACTGTAAGAAATATTCGTGTTCAGAGACAGAAGTCAATAGAAAACCACCACTGTTAAATAATTTGATTGTTAGACGGAATAAAACCACACAAAACCAGAATTCTGGAGTGAGGGTTTATTGTCATCGGAGCTGACAGGAAAACCACACACTGCCGGCAAAAAAGGAAGTTGATCCATTTATACAGTCTTCAATGCCCRCGTTCGCCCCCTACTGACCTACGGCTGAATCACAGGCATTCACACAAAATTCTCACCTAGTGTTCTCATAACGGATAAATATGTGTTGTTATAGATATTTCGGACATGTAACTAATCTATATCAATCAACACATAATAGATTAAACATTATAAAAAGGAAAACCTAAAAATATAGTGTTGTGCTTTTAACACCAGTACTAAACTCTAATAACTATAAATTTCTTCACTACTTATTGTAAATAATACTAATAAAACTTTCCTTGTTAGTTTACAACATTGTACTTCACATCTGCTGTATTGTATCAGGAGTGGGATGTTTTTCTAACCCTAACTGTGATTATTGAATGTGTTGATTATTTCTCTTTTGTCAGTAAGAAGTAATGTAAAAATTAAATGAAAATGTAAAAGCTCGGGTTTTCCATAGTTGGCTGTTTTTCAAACATGATCTGACAGCTTATTATGTCTCAGATGTTGCTTAATATCAGCTACAGGCACAAGGAATCCACCAAGTGTTTGTCTTACAGCTCTCTGCCACTTTAGACATCCTGCAGCTGGGAAAAAAATGAATAAATTGTTCATAATCTATGTGGCTGCTTGAGTAATACTAACTTGACATTTAAACAGCTTTTTGAATGACTCCAGTTTAATTCTGACCAGACTTACCAACCTATTCTCACTCCCAAGTCGTCACATATCCCTCTGCGTCCAGTTTTGACTCATCGAGTWCCACCCTCGCATCAGATATTGACGAGATGGGGCAGAATCCGTTGTCATAATTTCAGAAAGTGTAGAAAACGCACAAAAMCTCACCGTCCCAAAGCCTGAAATTAACTTTATTCAATCTAGACATGCTGTCCCTGACCCTAACCATCAACCCTGATCCCTAAAATTAAACCATTTTCAGAAAGTGTAGGAAATTCACGTCAACGTGTTCCAAAGCCTAGAATTACTTAATATTTGCCCTTGACATCCCTGACCCCACTACCTAAAATTAACCATGAACCCTGATCCCTAATATTAACCATGCATGGACCCCAACTCAAAGATCCCTATATTTTGCGTCCTAACGCGTCAAAACCCGACGCCGAGGGAACACGAAAAGGCCTGGTGTGTCAATAACTGACGCGACGAGTCAAAATAAGACACAGAGGGAAGCTTGGAAAATCAGGAGTGAGAATGTGTTCGACTAACGAGCTCTGTCCCAGCTTACCTCTCCGATCGACCTCATCCATGTACCACAGCACTGTTTCAGGTCAGCAGGTCACATGCTTTTAAGATTTCCTCGCTCCAGACTCAAACTCAGAGGTGACAGATCCTTGTCTGTTGCCGCTCTGAAAATTGTCCAAAAAGTCTAAATTTTCTCAATTTTTGTTTTGTCTTATTTAAAAACACTATTATTCCCTGACCTTTGACTCTGAGTGAGTTTGTTCTCAAATTCACTGTGCATCAGTTTTCTGAGCCTTTCTACTGTTTTCTGGGCATCACAGTTGTTCTCACCAAACGCTGGTTTTCCTGAAGAGAAAAATCATCTCCTCTTCGTTTGAACACCAAGATGGTGTCTGTTGCTGACAGGCTTGTCTGGAGTTAGTACTAAAGGAGGAGAGGTTACTAATGGACATGGCCTTGAGTTTTAGTGTTAGTAACAGGTCATTTTGACATAGTGGAAAAACATCTTGCACTTGCACAGCATAACAGTACACTGAGTGAAAACGAACTACGTTTAATGAAATATAAGTGAATTATTCAACCAAAATAAATCTTAAAATACTTGTCTATGATTCAAATACATATATTTATATATATATA